CAAGAGGATCGTTGCAAGTTCGAGGCCAGCCTGGGCTACAAAGTGAGCTCAAGGCCAGTCTGAACTGCATAGCGAGACCCTGTCTCAAAAAAGACAAAAAAAAAAAAAAAAAACTTATGTGAATGTGGTCTAGCTCATAAAATGTCTTTGATATTGTACCTGCTCTTTTGGTGCTATGAGGTGAGGTAGTACCTGTCTGACGAGATGAGGTAAGATGAATGATGTAGGCATTGTGGCACAGTGTTAGGCTGCTATGAAAGTGTTATTTGAAGAGCACTGTGATTCTATGCCCTGTAACCTGCCCAGAAGGCCTAAGACTGGGTCCAGCAGACCCACCCCTTACTTTTGCACTATATGGTTTTTTTTGTCTTTCTGAGATAGGGTCTTGCTATGCAGTCCAGGCTGGCCTTGAGCTCACTTTGTAGGCCCAGGCTGGTCTCGAACTCATCACAGTCCTCCTGCCTCAGCCTCCCGAGCGCTGGGATTACAGGCGTGCGCCACCATGCCTGGCTGTAGTAGAAATTTGTACTTTACCGTTACAGTAGCTGGCTGTGTGTCTTAGTACCTTTCCCGCATACAGGAACCGCTCTGTGTGTTTACTCACTTGGTATGACGAATGGCAAGGAGTGTGCATGTGTGCAAAAGTGGCAAGCCAGGATTTGTATTCACCTTGTGCTCCATCTAACTGGTTTTATATGTGTTCACCCGAGCATCACAGAGGGTTCAATAGGCTCACACCGCTGCAGGATTTGTTAAAACAAGTTTTCTTTTTATTCTTCTACTAGAAGTAGCCCAATTCAGTACAGTGGCACATGAAAAACCAGATTTGCAAGTTTTAGAGGAGGTCAGAAATAATCAGATTACTCATGCATGCGTGATGAAGATGATCCATTGTGGTAAAATATGTGCTTTCATAACCGAAGAGTGGTGTGGGTATATGATGATGATGATCCCGGCGTGGTGGTGCACACCTGTAATCCCAGCACTCGGGAGGCTGAGGCAGGAGGATCATTGCAAATTTGAGACCAGCCTAGGCTGCATAAGTGAGTTCAAGGCCAGCCTGAACTGCATAGTGAGACCCTGTCTCAAAAAGACAAAAAAAAAGATGATGATGATGACTTTGACGTTGGTTACATCATGAGCCAGAGTTCCTGTGACAGTTACATGGAGGAAGAATTGGCTGATACCCAGGAAATGCAGACCTTCTTGATTCAGATGACTGAGAAAACAGTAATGTGAGTATATATTTGACTGGTCAAAATGTTGCAAATGGCCACACAACCAAATGGAACAATCCAATGTTAGAACTAGGTCTGAAAATGTACTGAAGGCCTTGGCAGGGGTGAAACATATTGGACAGAATATTAGCACTGCCAATCACTGTTGGAAATTGTAACAGACGAAATGCTACAAGATGACATGAAATATACAGAGGCTAAAATGTGAGTAAAATGGTCTGTATGCACCAGTAGCCATATCCAGAAAATACGTTTATTATGACACCTCATTAGCTGAATTGAAAGCATTCATAAGTTTGCTGTACTTAGCAGGGATTTCTCACAGTGGTTGCAGGGATGTAAAAGACTTCCATAAAAACGATATGTCAAAATATGGCATAAGAAGCCAGGCGTGGTAGCGCACACCTGTAACCCCA